AATTCGGCGTCATAATTGAAATTGCACGTATTCTATTAGTCCGTTCGATTGTTTTTTATTATGGCGCGAATACTTTTCACATTTTGACGCAACATTATCGTTTCGGAATATTTAATTAACGCGTTCTACTTTAATTATTTTTTACGTAAATAATTTAGTAATTCCGTTTGGATTGTTCCAAATTAAAAGCGTTTTCTTTTGTGTTTTCGGTGGGAAACCATCCGTTGGGCGTATCACGTGCGATGGCGTCGCGTTGTTTTTCACATGTTTTACGCAATTCCACGGTTGTTTTAGATCATTTAATACCATTTTAGCGTCGGCTCAAAACGCCTACTAAAAATATGTAGGCGTCACAACAGTTACCGGTATAAATTTAAAACGGGCGTATCGATATTAATTTATTGACTGTTATCTGCAGGATGCCATTGTAATCCCTTTATAATAGAATTTATTGGTTTCGTAGCGATAAGTTCGGATTATTCACCCCGTTTTGAATAGAAAATTCGTCATAATGTCGCAGTAAATTAATGTATTTTTTGTATAAATACTTTTAATTTTTATTGAAAAATTGTCGGGAATATCCAATGCAGAAAAAGTAGTACGTAGTAGCAAAAATTCACAAAATTCACAAAAACAGGTATCAAACAACTAAAACTTCGAAAATACAAACAAAAAAAAAACAAATCTCGCGGTGGACAATAAAATATTAATTATTAACTATGAAAAGTCATGAATATGAAGAAGCTTTAACCAACCAAACGCGGGGAAATGCCATAATGCATAAACTTAAAAACCATGGCTGACAACGATCACAGTTGCTCTTCTTCTTCGTTGCTTTTCACAATCAGTTGGGCAAGACTACTGTGGCCATTCGCCCATTACCGACGTCCGTCGAGAAACTTTTTTTTTGGTCGCAGACCAACAATTAACAGAAAAGCTATTACCAACATTTGTTCTCAGCTTCCAATATAGGACTTTGATCGATAACAAAAAACGGCCCTCCCCGCTTTCCCCGCGACCCATCCGGGTCCATCCGGCCTGCATACCGACGTGAACAGAGACCGATTTCAAATTTTTGGGGACGAATACAAGGGATTCTGTCGGGAGCGGACGGAGGTTAAACCGTTATGTGCAATACTCGCGACAGAATCATCACAGTAGCTAATTTTACTAATAGTTCTTATTGTTCGATCAGCAATTTAAAAAGCAATTTAAAAAATTACATAAGAAGGAAGAACAATTAGCCCACAATATTGCAATGCTGACCAATATCCAGTACTAAGTTTTGTTTTCAATTGACCACCAACTTATGACTAAGCAGTTTAACTGAACTACCATTCGTAATAGCTTTATTACTCGAAATCGTCAAGTGTTGGGTCTTATCAAAGTTCAGTGTTTTAAGGCATTGTTTTCGAACCATTTATTTGCTGGTTATTCAAGTGTGGTGGATAAATCAAAAAACCAAGGTCATTGATATATTGGGTTTTCGAAAAATAAACGGAGATAGTTTAGGTGGTGATTCCTCGTTGAAAGGATGACAAAGTTTACAAAATCTTAATTAATATCTAAAGAAATGTTCACTCGATTCTGTTGAAATTTAACCCTAATAGATTAAAATTATTATCTTCAGTGGCATCCCGGGGCGCCTTAGCGAATTTTATTGACAACTTTATACAACAATTATACAACTTCTTCGTTTTCGACACAATAAAAATTTAAGCAGTTTCATTGCATGTCAATGCATAAGATATTGATTTATCAATTTTTGTTAAAAAATCAAAAGCGCTTTGGAAAACAATACTCCTACTCTACTACTACTCCTATAGAAACAATAGATTTTATGAACGACTTAATAATTTTAATTTATTGGGGCTAATTAAGCGTCTTAATGCACCAAATTTCAACAGAATCGAGTGAACATTTGTTTAGATATTAATTTAAAAAAATAATTTTCAATTTAACAGCTTCGATTAGTCTGCGTTTCCGGACCCATGTTTATAAAAACTTTAATGGCTCCAAAACTGATCCTTGTGGCACTCCGAGTGATAGGCTTTTTACGATGTCGATCGGCAGTATAGTACCAGCATTTTTACCGTTTGATAAAACTCGGCGCAGCCAGGCGGAAAATATTAACCATGGTAATTATTTGCGACGGAAGGGGGAATCGTTAACCCAGAATAGATTTAATTCGCGGTAATTAAAATCCAGTTTAGTCGATGATCGCCGCAAATTTACCCGAAATTTGGGCCAAACGCCGCCAAACTTATTAAGTCAGTTTCTTGAGGAGGGGGGTGGGGGGTTTGGTTAATTTTGAAATTAAGCTTCCGTAGAGATTTTCTCGCTTCAGGCGTTACGTAATACCGAATTTGTAGCTACGGGCACGTACTATATTCAAAATGTTATACAGTGCGGGGTAAAAAGCAGCCTTGAATTTTAATTTTCAACGGCGGCTAGTATAAAATATTCCACAAAAAAATGTGTAACGACTTTCTCTAATTAACCATTTAATAGTCCCGCTTTGTATTGTAAATAATAGAATTATCAATTTGTACCGCAAATTAACGGCACTGTCCGGCAGTTTTCATCGATTTTCTAAAATATGAAAGCGGCGCTGTCGTTCCACGCTTTAATCGAATCGCATCGAAGCCATTGTTGTTTTGGTAATTTTTTTTGTATTTGTGTTGATTTGATAAGTCGGGCGTTTCGTAAAAATCTTCGATAAAAACGCGAACGGAGCGGAATATATTATTTCGAAACCGGCCACGGCGCTCCATATTCGACGAAAACGAAAACTAATTTTGACACGCCGTCACCAATGGTAGGACGCAATTTGCTTGGACGTTTCGTTCCGTCCGCGCCTATTATGGCGGTGAAATTTTATCGCCATTTGCGATTTCACCCCCTAATCACCGGAACAAGGTTCATTTTGAACGTTTTATATTGTTTTTTGCGGAAGAATCGTCACCACAATACTTTATTGAATTGTAGAAGAGTCCGGTAAATTTTTGAGGGTTCTTTAAAGATTGTGTAATAATTTTGTTCTGATTCGGTCCAGCCGGCAGATGTTCCACAAGAATTTCGGTATACTGCTTCACGTGTCCAAAGATTTAAGATTTTCGAGAGGTAGATCGAAGATGTGGGATGGGAGGGGGTAGTAGGGCAGGTGGTTGGCAAGATCTCGATCGCATGTGGCGTGTGGTAAAACGACGGGCAGATGTTTCTTAGGACGTGGCCCAAAAGATACCGAAATTAATAACTTATACAGTATGGAACTTTCGGTTTTATTTTCGATTTAAATCGGGGAACGGCCGCATCGCTATATAAAAGGAAAAGCAACATTTAAACTGTTATAATACGGTGGGCGAATACAAGAAACAAAATTCACGACTTTAACCTTTCGCTCGGCGAATTAAAAAAAAAAAGATACGTATGCTATTGCAACGTGTCCATATAAATTTAAATCTGCTTATAAACCGCGCATGTCAAGATCAAAAATATTATCATTATGATTGAGGTAATAATAATCGAATATAAATCGTACGATAACATTTTTGCAATTGCTGATTTGCGCATAAAATTGCATTCTTTCCACGAACGTAAGTTATTGTTACAGTGTTTAGTGGACTGTGCATGTTCGAAAACACCTGAGGACTACTTGTATATCGAGAGCACCAGATGTATGATATTTTTCGTGCCCTGTCAAAATCGAACAGCTGCTCGCTCTGCTCTACCTTATATTTTGTTTACCGTCTCACTCGATTCTCCGTCTGGCCTACCTGTGATTTAGAACCATTTTGAACATCTCGTATTTTGGGTTCTGGGTCCTTAATTCCGTTGGTTCAGTTCTGCAGCTGCTTCCTTAGGGATAGCATTCGTATATCTCGTCGGTTTAGGTGATTTTCTGTACATGAATAATTCGCAATGATCATTTGTATATCCGGTTTTTTGGTCGGGACGTAAGTAATGCTTTATTATTAATTAATTAATTGATTTTGGGGCGGTGAAAATTGATAACGCAGGTTGCTTTCGTATTTTATCGAGCTTTCGCCTTTCTCTCTGGCTGTTTTTTTTAGTCTTTTTTTTTTTGGAATTCGCTCACTGGCGGATTTTTTTAAGCAAGGTACATATTTGCGTTGCTTTTGACGTTATATTAAATTTTAATGGTAAACATGATTAAGTCAGTGATTCTCTATGGGAGGTGATAATCATTTGAAATCGCATTTGTAATTAGTTGAACACTGTAAGAAAGTCGCGTGTCACCGTGAATAAATAAAATATATTCTGGTTGTATGTATTTTCTTTAATCGTGATTTGCTATAATTTCGGTGTAACCTTGCGGCCCCTATCTAAACAATTGAGGTAAACGAGTACCTGCTATTGACCTAATTTTTGACGTTTAAATTAAATTGGTGTCTAATCATCGGGTCAATCGATTCCAATGAGAAGAGTTTTAACGTCGATTGTTAGGAAGGTCGTCGGATCTTTGTTTTGTCACCTACGAGGGTTAAAATGACGACCAAAATTATTATTATTGAAAAAAAGTCGACGATGTATTTTATTGCGTTCTAAATAAAAATGAATAAATACAGACAACTAGATTATATTTCATTGTTGTCTTCTATCTTATACTTTTTTAAGGTTAGTTTTATAGGCTTAGGACATAGGGCTAAATTTTTTGACATTTTCACAATTTTTTTTCTAGTTAATAGTTATCAGTCGTCATATTTAATCAGTGTTAGCGTTTTGACAATACGTTTATATACATATCCAACAAACAACGCCAAACTGCAGCGACTGCAATATTCTATTTCTCGGTATTAATACGATTTTCAATGCAGGTTGCACTGAACATCAAAATTGACTGTACATAGAACGGTGTTATAGTTATTACGTTGTCATTTTAATAGCCAAAGGGTCGTCTTAAGAATTAGTGCGTCGGTTGCGCACGATTCGTGCAAAACAATGTGTTGGTTGGTGTCAAAAATGTTCATTTGTTTCAGTTTTCCCCAAAAACTGGAGCGCTCGCAAGTGATTAATTCGATGGGATCCTCTGACCACATGCGAGAACAAACTTACATTCAAGCTCCGAATTATATTCAAACGCAAAACTATAGCACGCCAGCAGTAAGTCCAGTTTACTGCCGTCCATCACCGAACAACCCCTCGTACGGACCTGGAGTCCAGCAACTCCATAAAAAAGGATCGTTAAGAAACGGAGACATCCTGAAACGTTCCAGGGTTCAAACAACGTGAGTATTAATAAGACTGTACCACCACTCCTTTTTTCTTTCCAAAATTTTTGCAAAATACAAAGAAGTTACCGTTATACAGGGTATTTCGTAACAATCCGACACAACATTAGTGGAAGAAAAGTCCAAGTTCACTAGAATCTGTTATTTTATACGACACAGCCCTATATATTCTTATACTATTCGATTCAAAACTTGATCTGGACGCTATATACAAGGATCAAAGTGTAGATAGCATATAAATTTCAGCCCCCATGATTAGTAAAAATTTGAAAAATTGAATGTCAAACTGTTTTTTTTTTAATTTAGTTTTTTTTTTAACGTCAATGGGGTCTTTCCGTAGATATCTAAAAACCCCCCCCTACCTCCCGTATAGTCGCATTTTTTTTTTAATTTACCTTCTCACTAAAATCGTTCCTGACGGTGAAGGGTAGGATCTATATTCAACTTTTCGGAACAATCGCATTGAGGAAGAAACAAAATATATGAAATTTCAGCTTTGTAAATAAGCGAGATACAAAAATCCACTATCAAATTTTTGTATCTTTTTTTTTACCATCGTGATTAGCTGAAATTAATATTTGGTGCCTCCTCTATCGGATGCTTTATTAACTTATTAATCTTCCAATTTGATTTTTTGTAAGCGAAGTATTGGTTTAGCTGTGGTCATTTCCTTCCTACTAATTTTCCATTTCCAAAAGATTTTGGTTGAAATTAAATCAAATCTGAGCTGTTGGAATAAAAAAGTTGCACTTTTGGTATATTTTTTTAAGATCTGCTACTAATTTCGTTCGAATTTAGTTTTTTTTGTCACCTGGAGAAGTGAAATTCCTGTATAGCGTTGCAAATGATCTACCTTCTAGATTTGCTTTTTATTTATTACGCTAATTCACCGAACTGTCTAATTTTAGACTTTTTGTAGGTACGAACTATCGCAAGACATATTGGATAAACAAATCGAAGTATTAGAACGTAAATATGGCGGAATACGGGCAAGAAACGCGGCCCTCACCATTCAAAGGGCGTTTCGCCGCTATACATTGCTTAAAAAATTCGCCGCCATTACGGCCATGGCCAAAGCGGAAAAACGAATTAGTAGAAGACTTCCGCCGCCGAACGATGAATGCAAAGGTAATATGGAAGTGGAACAGCAATGTCCAGAATATATGCGGAATAGTTACGAAGGTCATGAATGTAATAACATACGCGCTCTTCCAGTTAGGTCAATGTCTTTACGTGAAAGAAGAAACATTGATAATATGCCGATACCGAGAAGCCAATCGGGAACGCCCACTGTCGTATGTTGGGAAAATTATTCATCCTCCTCTTCCCTACAACATTATTACTCCCCTACCGAATCCAAAGTGGATTCTTTGAGTTCGACCGTAACAGCAAGTCCGAGCTCTTGCAGTACCCCGACGACATCGTCGAATGGTTACATGCGAGCTCGAAGTATAAGCAGCAGAAAGGTGCCGCCGGAAGTGCCGAAACGTACTTCGAGCATTACTTCGAGATCGATAGAACAGGGCCGGCATAAGTCGAACGGATTGTCGAAAAATGCGGAAAACGGATCGTTATCGAGCGTACAAAGTTCCGGAAGTGACAGCAGCATATCGACCGAGAGAATACAGTGCGAGTTTTCGGGCTCGCCCGTTTGGAAAAGGAAAGGCAATAATTTATCGGAATACGCGGAACCGACGCTGGAAACTAGTTTAGGGAATATATCCAACGCTAGTTCATCGACTTATACTTTGGTCGAAAGGACCACCGAACAACAGCCCGCCCAAAGTTACAAGATATCGGAGACCATAAGGAAAAGACAATATCGCGTCGGTTTGAATTTGTTTAATAAAAAACCCGAACGGGGGATAGCTTATTTGATTAGGCGCGGTTTCTTGGAAAATTCGCCGCAAGGTGTCGCCCGGTTCCTGATATCTCGTAAAGGATTAAGCAAGCAAATGATCGGCGAGTATCTCGGCAATTTGCAGAATCCCTTTTGTATGGCCGTTTTGGAATGTTTCGCCGCCGAATTGGACCTTTCCGGAATGCAAGTGGACGTCGCTTTAAGGAAATTTCAGCAGCACTTTAGAATGCCGGGTGAAGCGCAGAAGATCGAAAGATTAATGGAAATTTTCTCGCAACGGTACTGCCAGTGCAACGTAGACATCGTAGCCCGATTGCGTTCGCCGGATACGGTAAGTTCGCAAATAAAATCCTTCCGCGTATTTTTATCACGGTTGGTAAAAAAAAATGTCAATGTGACCAACCGAAATCGGGCTCGTAACATCCACGCTGAAGGTGCTCTTCTAAAATTTCAACCAAGTCGAAAGAATAATCATTCTGACGTAAAAGATTTATTAAATAAAATAATTATAATGGGTTTAACAATAAAATAAATAAACAATTTTTGTGATTTTGTTGGGGAAAGATAACATAACTATAGGATTAAAGGTACAATAATATGTGAGCTGTAACACTGTATGTCTCTGCTAGCGACTCATACAACACAACTTCTGAAAGTTTACTTTTTTTATAAATTTCTTTAAAAAAATATCATTTGCATAGCCTTAGGACCTTATATAGTTGACCACTATGATAGCATTCTTAGGAATATTAATATTAGGTAGAAGACAATCTCATACCATTGGTAATTTATAGTTACGACTGCAGCCACATCCCCCCCCCCCCCCCCGCCCTGTTTAGGCAGAAATTAATGTTTTTTCTGAAATTTATGACAGTCTCGTTGCTGATGATGGACAGATGTTAGCTTGAATAACTTGAATGGCCCTTTATATTCGCTGTAATTCTTTAGATTAATTAGATTATACGTTTTTTTTCTAATTTACTTTATTCTCTTACATATAAGTTGATATTTAAGTTCCCTTTTCCGATTTGTTCTGTCATTGGCTAAAAAATCTCATCGATTGGCGTTTGAAGTGCTGGCAAGTTACTGAAATAATTTTGATTTTCAGATTTTCGTGCTGGCATTTGCAATAATTATGTTAAACACGGATTTGCATACTCCAAATATTAAGGCGGAACGTAGAATGAAATTGGAAGATTTTATAAAGAATTTGAGAGGCATTGACGATTGCGGAGATATCGATAGCGACATGTTGACGGGGGTTTATGAAAGGGTCAAAGCCAATGAATTTAAGCCCGGTTCCGATCACGTCACGCAAGTAATGAAGGTTCAGGCAACAATTGTGGGCAAAAAACCTAATATGGCCCTACCGCACCGCAGATTAGTTTGTTACTGTAGATTATATGAAATTCCTGACGTTAATAAAAAGGAAAGACCCGGGGTCCACCAAAGAGAAGTATTTTTATTCAACGATTTGTTGGTCATTACGAAGATTTTGAGCAAGAAAAAGTCTTCCGTCACCTATACCTTCAGAAATAGCTATCCTTTGTGTGGAATGATCGTCACATTATTTGAAGTTCCACGTGAGTATTGCACTTTCATGTCGTCAATGAATTTCGAAAAAAATGGCAGGTCATACAACAATATAACAATTGTTTTATTATAATTATTTTACTGCCGAAAGGTAGTTGTTGATCCGGGTATTCTTCATTCATTCGTTGTGCGGATGCGTACAAATGATATAGTCGCGCAACCTCTGAAGATGCCAGATCAAATTCAGGCAACCCATGCTACTGTAGGATCAAACAACGAACGGATGAATACCCGGATCAACGCTAGTACACTAGTACTCTCATCTGTTTAGCCCTTACGGATGGAACTATGTGTACTGGTGTTGATCCGGGTATTTATAAATTAGTTGTTTGACACTAGAGTAATATCGGTTGCCTGACGACTGCCTGTCCATGTCACTTGTACGTGTCATGTCATGTCACATGCCAATTTTTTAACTAATTTTTATTTTAACCAATTATTTAAGTAATAAAATTTAATTGAAAAAAAAAAGATAAACAAATACAAATAATACTTTTACCTTAACAAATTCGCGGGTCTACCGTTTTCCTCTCTGTCTTGCGAGCGAAGCTCAACCGGGTGGACGACTGCATGAGCGTTGTTTGATGGTGCTGAAAGGGAGTGAATAAGTGGTCCTGTCGTGGTTTGCATAAATGACATTGTCAGCAGCTTTGACAAAGTGTGTGTGCGTGTGTACGTGACAAAAATAGTATGTGTGTGTGTACACTTAATATTAGTAAGTGATATTCGTCTACGCGTTTCCTCAAGAAGGCACTTTTCCGTGTCTGAACCTTCCGCTGCGTCTTCCGTCAAGCCTATTAACTTCAAGTAGGCGATTACAGCTCCCAGAGACGTCTCTCTGATTATCATTATGGATACGAATATGATTCACGTCTAAACCAGAAGTTAGGACATTCGCCTAGAACGCACATATATTGTCTCGCTTTCCTGTTTGCACACTCTGCATGGGAAGTGCTCTACTCAAACTCAATCTGAATTGGTGTTTGTGAAGTAGTGCTTTTTCATCCCTTTGTTTTAGAAATTGATTCCTGAAGTTTTCATTTATCAGTTTTTTAATGACTGACGATCCTATAAAGTTTAGTTCGGCAGGAAGTCCTCTGGAATGCCCGCCCATGCCCTTTCAACCAACGGTGACATTCTAGTGCTAGTTCTGACGTGGCCTCTTGGATGGTCCCCAAGTACCTTTCCAAATTGTTTCATTCAAAATGAAGAGGCTAAGAAGTTTAGTAGGATCTGAATGCAAGTGTATAATAGTTTATAGTGAGTGTGGTGAATGTGCACGTGCGCTGAAGAAGATTGTCTACTGGCCTTATCTTATATTGGTGAAAATCTTCGACCTTCTAACCGGGAAGTGGTAGACGTCATCTGCGGATGGCCGCAGCACCCATTAAAACCCCAAATGTTCGAAACAATACGTATGATTGTTTATAATTCTGAAAGAGCAATATGGCGTATCAAAAGGGCGAAAACGCGACGAAGTTAGTCTGAACTTGAGTGTATGACGGTATGACATGTAAGTTGATGTCAGAATGTGGACAATGCGTACGTGTGCTGGATTATTTCTACACGGAGCATTAGTGCAAGAGGGGTTGTACAGGTTGGCCTACTAACCTTATTTTGTGTGGTTGACAAAATGGTGAAATCCCCATGGCGGTGGCAGCATCTATGGATTGAAATCACGCATTGTCGATGTAGGTGATGACGTTTTTCGTTTGCTTTCCAATTTGCACGTCATGTCATGTCATGAATAAACAAAAAAAACTACGTTGGAAATATTTTTTGGCCAGTAAAATCAATCTGCGCGCTAGAAGAAAAACCATAAGGGTTTATATGTGATATTGTTAAATTCATCTGTATTTGGTAAATCGTTACCTAAAGTATAAGGTTTGGAAAGTAACATAAACAATAATTTCACAATTTGCACACCATCAGTACTCAATATTGTTTCAGATTACCCATACGGGATTAAACTAAGTCAGAGAGTGGATCAAAAAGTGTTAGTCACGTTTAACGCTCGAAACGAACACGACAGATGTAAATTTGCCGAAGATCTAAAAGAAGCGGTAAGTGAAATGGATGAAATGGAAAACTTGCGAATTGAAGCCGAATTAGAGCGACAAAAATCGAACAGAGCAAACAGATCAGGTAGTGGACACGTATTAATATGATTTAGATTGGTGTAAACGTGTATGTTCTTTCTAGGATCTGAAAATCGAGACAGTGGTGTAGCCGATGTAGAAGTTTGTCCTTGTCAATGTCCGTGTTCGCAAAATCAAGCAGTAGGTACCAACGACATGTGTCCCGAAGAAGTAGCCCACGACGCACAAATTAAAAGATCTGCCTTGAGTAATTCCCTGCTGGACATTCACGAGCAATGTGAGTATTATACTCCAATAATGAATTGCTAAAATATTAATGTTAGTGTAGTTGCAGGAGACAAGGCCCAAAGACGTGGCAGCGTCGGATCGTTGGATAGCGGCATGTCGGTGTCATTTCAGTCTACTTCAGCGAGTACCTGTTCCCGTTCTGACAAACTAGCCGGCAAGCAAAATAAGCAAGGCATTCATAACCATCAAGGATTTTTAGGCGGATTGTTTAACAAAAGACAAGCGGCGGGAAATATTAACAACGCAGCGAAATCAACAGAAGTTTAGGAACATAAGTACAATATGGGATTTTTTCAAAGATCTTTTCAATGTTAGTTAGAACATAAAAACTTCAACTTGCCCAAGACATGTTTGTGTTATTGTACACTTAGCTTTTTACATAGTTTAGGTACTGTGTACCTCAATATAATTAAAACTTATTTGGGTTATAAAATGATTTTTCAAAGTGGTTTCATAAAATTTAATGTGCATGCTACGAAACTATTCAGATATTATCCCACTCACAGATGGATTGTCATATCAGAGTACCCGCGGGCTCTTATCGATAATCTCACCGACCCTTTTATAAGTGTTACCAAATATATTACCTATGGCTGTTTCAACTTCGCACAATGCGAGTATAAAACTAAAGGTAAAATAGATAGTTACTACTACCAAATTGCAAGTGGAAATATATATATATATATATATATATATATATATATATATATATATATATATATATATATATATATATATATATATATAAATACGAAAACGCCCTACAAGCAACACCATTTGTAGTAAACTCAAATCGATATGTTATGCTATTTTTTTTTCTCCAAAATTACCGGAATTGTTCTTAAAATCTTATGTAAATAAGGATATTTACGCATATTCGATGTAAAGAGAGTGAAACACATGTTCTAGTCGAGTGTATATAGTTAGGAATCTCGTACTACTGATATTAAATTAATTTAATCTGATGTGCATTAAGTGTTTTTTTAATAACTAATAAACAGTTCAGTCTATCGCCGGGTTTTATTTTGCGATGCGACCTCCTCTTGTCAAACACTAAAAAAATACAGTTTTTACCGAAAAAAAAAAAAATTGGACAAAGAAAAATTATTGTAATGGCCGACTTCTAGAATGCGATGTCGCAACAAGATCTCTTAAATATTATTAGGTCTACTTGGTTCATATTTCGTGGTGACCACACCACGGTACTTATCAACGTTATCTTTGATAGACCCTTACTGATTATCCCTAACACGAAAACAGAAACAGTGTTTACCTTGATTTAAATAATTTTGCTCCTTGTGTTCCTTCACCTAATAATTAAATGAGCGGTTTTTAGGGCCGCAATAATAAACTAAAAACTTTAAGGTAATTCGACGAGGAAAGTCTACCAGGATTAAAAATTGAAAAAGAAAAACATTCAAGTTTTCTCGGAATATACCAGACTTCCAGTAAGGACCTATTAATTGACTCGATAATAACCGCCGACGAGGCTGGTAGATATGTAACCCTATATTAAACCTACAATGGTGGTACGAGTAATTCAAATGTGCTAGAACCATATCCTCAGATACCTTGGGGCGGAGCGAACATTTTAGTGTGGGTATGCACTTTTGCAATCTTATTGCCTTTTAAATGTTTTGTTATTTTTTATATTCAAATCTTCTTATTTGATCAGCATCTTGTGCCATACTTCGTTTCATTCTTCTTATACAGTTTTTTATAAATCACCCATTTAATATCTTGGGATGAATTCCAATAAGGTTATAATTCCTTAAAATGCCACATCGAATGAATCGTATGATAAATAAAGATCGGATCAGGATAAATAAATAACAGTTTCCTTTTATCCTTCGAAATATAATATCAAAATAACTTTTCAAGTTTCGATTGCTATGTGGATTTTTATCAAATTTGTTAGTTTTATTTTGGATATTGTAGTAATTGATATGAATATTTTGACTTTGACATATCAAAGTCGAAATATTCGCATCAATTGTTTCATATTTTGACTTATTTATACATTACAATATTTATTGAAAATAAAAGCAAGATTTTTGATAAAGATCTACATTGTAATGGGAACATAAAAATGTAGGACATTAATATTAATGAGAAATTTAAACTCAAGAATTAATAAATATTGCTTAATTAATCGTATATCTGTCAAAGTTGTTTTGCAAAACAATTCGAATGAATTATATTTTTTGTTTATTATTACTTTCGAAAGTGTATCCTATGGCGGTGATCGACCAGACTTAAAGATGCCCTTTTTTTGATAACCGCGAAGAACTGGTTAAAAAAAGGAAACTTTTGTAATAGGAACTACTGGAAAACCCCAACTTTTGAATATTGAAAAAATACTCCGAATGTATACGAGCGCAATGTTTTCTTGTGAAGAAAATTAACAGGCCATTGGATTTACTTCTCTCATCGCCTCACAAAATTAAATGAAAAGTCGAAACGGAAAAAAAAACAACTGGCGACGGAAACGAAAAAACAAAAATTAGCACACGACGGTGGACAATTAATAACATTTAGTCACGCTCCGTATATGCCACGATAATGGCAGATAATGATAATCGTTTGTAAATAAGCACGGGCTAAATTGTGGATTGCGCCGCTCGCAGCAGCGCACCCCCATCGTTTACCATTACACGAGCTTTAGATTGCTTTTGTTGGTTATAATAGACAACGCTCCGGCAGTCGTCCTGCCACGGTTAAGGTAACGAGGCTGCACTTCGTACGGGTCCTGCGTTCTTTCCGCGCCGGTCCGCAACTCCGCACGCCACGCGGTATTTGTTTTTTTTTTCCATTTTCGAAACAACACAACCGTACGCATTGTACGCGCACGTCTTTTCGGTTACGTAGGCGTCAGATATGTTTGCCGATTGAGGAAATCATCGCAAAACGAAGAAGAAAGAATGTCGACGGAAATTAAAGAACAGCCGCAGGAACACCTTTTGACGGCGCCTCAAAATGAAAACGACGTCGAACAGCCGACGACGTCGAATAATGTACGCGGCGAAACTTTTCAAAACAGTTGCAGTGTTAGTTTCGATCGGTGTTCTTGGCACGAGCACGTTTACAGGAGATTAACGAACAAACCGACCCCTCACTATATCGAAAATATATTGGGGTTGGCTAACGGGACGCCGGCGATCCCGCCGCAGAACGATTATCCCAACTTGCAGGCGGTACACGGCGAGTTCGAAACGAACGAACCCCTCAATCTGTCAGTCAAGAGTGAACCCAAAGTCAGAACTAAATGTCCAAAAGGTAATTATAATTTTTTCTATTATACGCGCAGTTTATTAAATAAAAGATAAAAATTGAAAGACCTCTTTCTCCTCACTTTAAAAAAAGTCGACGAAAATAAATGTGCCGAAAATAAAAATATTTTTTTTTTACATAAAAGTTTTATGTTTTTTGTCGATTATCTTCTAAACTTACAAATAAAAAGAAAGGACCCCGCAAAATCAAAAGGAAAGGAACATCCTGTAGCCCATTTTAATCCGACTTTACTTTGTCGGCGTTCGGTTCGGTCGTTTTTCAAAAAAACTCTAGCTTATTATTCAAAAATGGAATTTAATAATCAAAATCCTAGACTCACAAATTAAGAAAAAACCACGCTTAACTGAGACATTACGTTGAAATTTTGTAAATTAATTATTATTTTGAGTTAATGCCCGCCTAAAAATCTACTCAATACTTCTTTTCCAAGGTAATGTTGATGTGGATTATTAAATTTTACTTTTGAATAACAAACTGGAGTTGTTTCAAAAACGCAGAAAGAAAACTTAAAATAAATAGGTATGTGACATAGTTAATAAAGGTTTTTGTAAAACCTTTCAGAAAAAATAATAATATATATGGTGTGCCATTTAAGAAAGTCGATTTTTCAATTTTAAGTAATCCTAATATATTCCCTGTAGCATATAATTCAAATTCCGTTGCATATATTTTTTACATCATCTTCAAATAACGATAATATCAAATATGTCAAAGAAATTTTTTTTGCAAGTGTGAAAACTAGTATTTTTGTAAAAAAAAATAAAATATTGGAAAAACTGTTAGTTTTATGTATGTAATAAAAAGTTGAAGAATTTTCTTCTTTTTCTTACAACTTTTGAAATCAATTAGACAATGAACTTTACTCTATCGTTGACTCACCCTGTACAGCTAATGTTCCCCTAAAAAATATACTTCTTTTTCAAGGTAATGTTGATGATGATTATTAAATTCTACTTTTGAATAATAAAAAGGATTTATTTAAATAACTCCCGACAATACTTTTCAAATCGGATTATAAGAAGTTTTATACGTTTAAAAAAAATTATACAGGGTGTTCTATTGTAAAAAGAATGAGGTTGTTAATTTTTTATCTTTGCGGCGATCATTTTTATTAATATGTTCAAAAGGAAATACGGAATAAATAATACAACTTTTACAGAAAAATATAGATGAATACCCTAAGCGTAACTAAACAAATGAATTCCTTCCCGCCCCAAAATCTTTTTTTGTAAAAAGTAAACCTAAACTCAAAAATAAATGTGTAGAATAAAGAAAAAGGAAAACCAAAACTGCATAACCTGCCAAAGATATTACTTACACATTTACACAACATTTTAAATGAATAAAAAACAATGTACAGGGTGTTTAAAAAATATCGGCAACGCTCGCTTGCAGATTCGTTATCCAAAAAAACGAAAAAAGTTCCTGCAACGCTTAGTTTTCATATTTTTTTAAAAATGGTCTACATCAGCTTCTTCAAAGCTTAACTTTGTAATTCATCAGATTCAGAAGATTTGTAAATAGTATTACAGTAGTCTATGGAAATTATTTGAAAAAAAAAACCTTATTAGTGCACTTAAAATCTGTCGAGACACCCCTAAAAGATCACCGCACCGCAAAAAAACGCCTATGTGTCACGAACGTATATAAAAAAATCGAACGATATATGGGTCGCTCAACGTTTTTGACGCCAATAAGAATCTAAAAGTATAACTTCTTTGACTGTTGACATAAACGCCAGATTTGACAAATGTCAAAATTCAAGCCGTGTGGTAAAATCTCCGAAAACATCCGATTGCTTCCAAACCCGTGCGGTAATATCCCGGAAATGTCCGAAGTGGCTCGGATTCGTGGGAAACGAAACTGACGTGATAAAATTGTACACTTTCCGCACTCTAGATCGGTGTATAATTAGGTATTTTACAGAAGGGAGTAGAAAAAATTTAATAATTTAATATCTAGGAAACTGAGCATCTCCGGACCCACATTTATATGAACTTATTTTCTTTTTTTGGATGACGGTTATTGAAACACCTTGTTTACTAACCGTTACGGCCGTAGAATCTAATATGACGCAAATCCCATCAAAAGGCTTACCAGACGGCTGACGGACGAGCTAAAGCAATCAGTTTATTAAATTCCTTCAAATACCACACGAAAATAAACACGGCACACATCGTAGACAGATACATAAACCGATTATTTCTTAAATAACCCTTTAATTGGCAATAGCGTTGCAACAGAAAATTTGCCTTTCTACTAAAACTTTGGCTCATAATTTATATAATAAATAATAAAAAAAAACAAAAATGAGCCCACTTCCTCACATCTACCCACCCCCGGTCCCCGAAAGCGCGATTTTAATTATCCACTTCGTAAAACGAGCAACGCAAAAAATAAAAGATTAAATACCTAAACCCAATATTTTCGCAATAGAAAATTTCCGCACCGAATACATCTTCATAGGATAGGAAATCCCGGGAAATCGTACTACACAGAATATACTGGCAGGTGAAAAATTAAATTCGAACAGACTACAATTTGTACACCCATCTTCAAACTAGTAAAAACACAGCAAAAAATAAAATATAACTGGGACCACTGCTAAAAGGGACCAATTTTCAGGATTTTTTGTTTTCATGGACTATTTCGGAAAGATGTAGAGTAATAAAATCTCACTCGCTATGCAAAGGGATTACAGAGTGACCCAACGAATAATTTTTTTATTATTTATTCGGTTAAATGCAAAACATGTTTTAATTACCCTGTCACTCGTTTCCCGTTAACTCTGTCATCATGGAGAACAATATATGCATCAGGTAAGATGATGGATGAATGGCGAAAAATGACAATAAAGGCTATTTATTAGTATGGGATTTACAAAAATAATTTTATTGTATAAAGTTTACTTCGCCTATAACCGTTTTAATGTTAAACAAAGATTTCGTTGTCGATGCGATTATATTTTTATTGTAAAATGCAGTAAAGCGTGACCTATACTACACATATACCATACAGAATAATTGAAAAGAAAAAACAATATTTCTTTGATTTCGTTTCTTTCCGTGTGGAATTTCGAACGTATATGCGTTGAAAACTAAACGCGAAACAAGATAATAGCAAATAAATTTCTATTAACGCGAAAATCCAGATATCAGTGCGCTTTCAACGCAAATAAATTGCAATAAATATTTTAATTGCCGGTTCGATAAATTAAATGAATGGCCGTTGAAGTAGTCGACAATACGTTTTTGTATATACACATATATGCTCGCACGCAATATCGATGGTATAATTCAATTTTTCCGCGAGTTTCGATTGTTCCCTTTGTTTGACATCGTCTAATTTAAATTAAAAACGTTTTATTGACATTCCACCAACATAAAAAAAAGTCTGCCTTTTTGCGCATGATGCGAACGCGTACGTTTACGGCGACCTGAAAACCCCGGAAAACCCGGAGTATTCCTGCGGGGCCGGGAAAAGTCATTTTCTCGTTAAAAATTTGACAAGTGTATACATAGAAATAGAAATATAATATAAAATACCTTCTCTGGAACCGCTATGCCTTTCTTTTGCAAAAAAGTATATGTTTCAACAAGCATCAGATTAATACACCAAAATATTAAGAGTTACCGTGTCGAGTTACTGAGTAGTTCAGTTTTTGTTTGTCAATACATAACACAGCAACAATGACATTGTTGTTGATTGTTACAAACCTTCTGAATCTGATGTAGACCACTTTTTAAAAAATATGAAGACTAAGCATTGCAGGAACTTTTTTCGTTTTTTTGGATAACGAATCTGCAAGCGAGCGTTGCCGATATTTTTTAAACACCCTGTACATTGTTTTTTTTATTCATCTAAAATGTTGTGTAAGTAATATCTTTGGCAGGTTATGCAGTTTTGGTTTTCCTTTTTTTTTATTCTACACATTTATTTTTGACTTTAGGTTTACTTTTTACAAAAATAGATTTTGGGGAGGGAAGGAATTCATATGTTTCGATTCTTTTCTGTTTTTTTGAATGAGTGAAATTATGCTTAGGGTATTCATTTATATTTTTCTGTAAAAGTTGTATTATTTGTTCCGTATTTCCTTTTGAAGATATTAATAAAAACGCTCGCCGCAAAGATAAAAAAATTAACAACCTCACTCTTTTTAAAATAGAACACCCTGTATAATTTTTCTTAATCGTATAATACTTCTTATAATCCGATTTCAAAAGTATTGTCGGGAGCTTTTTAAATAAATCCTTTTTTTATTCAAAAGTAGAATCAACACAGACATAATTAAAGCCTATTGCTATTAAACTTTAAATATGTCAATTTTATCATTTGGTATTATTTACAAACATAATGAAACCTGTGACTTGGTAAGGAATAAGAGTAAGAGTCCAATTTTTGCTGCTCTTTTAAGAAATTAAAAGTGGCACAAACAGAAATGTCATGACTACCTTGGATTTTTAGATACAGGGTGATTTTTATTAAACATTCTGTGGTTCGGTCAACTTATCGAAAAGTTGGAAATGATTTAGGGGCGTAGTCATTTTTTTTCTGAAGTTCACATTTTTGATATACAAACTAAACTTTTGTGTGTTTTTCTTTAATGGAATACCGTCAGTGAATTTTAATATTTTATTAGACTTGTTATGAGTTTTTCAAAAATCTGTAACACTTCAGAGGTATTTCAAATTCAAAGCTTATATGTTACATTTTTTATTATGAGAGTTACGGAAGAGGTGTCCGTAATTATTCTTATTAATTTCTGCGTCCTTTTCTTTCTGTTATATGCCAATTATGAGAAATTAGATATTATAGAGGTGTATTATTATTATTGTTGTGGAATTACCGGTCAATTTTTTTTGTATCAATAATTGTTCTAAATAATTTTAAAAGTACCATAAAATTTATACTTATTTATTTATATATTTTTATATTCTGCGTTACGGAGTCGTCGCGTCATTCTGGGAACCAAATGGAGTCGTTAT